ACACTCCTGCCTTCTGACCTTTGCACTAGCCATTTCCTCCACCAGGAAGGCTTTACTTCAGAGATATGCACGCTCATGCCTCTGCCTCCTGGCAGGTCTCTGCTTAACTAACACCCTAAGTTCTTTCCCAACTGCTTTATATATACAGGGTCTCCATAATGTTCGTGTGCGATTTAAAATATCATTTTAAACACGAACATTATGGACACTCTGTATAGAAAACGGTAACCCTGTGTCTACCTACAGATGAATGGCTAAACAAAATGTGGTCTATCCATACAATGGAGCTTTGAAAAGAAAGGAAATTCTGACCCAAGTGATCATATAGATGAACCCTGAGGACACACTAAGTGAAAATAAGCCAGTCACCAAAGGACAAATACTGTATGATTCCATTTATATGAGGTACCTAGAGTAGCCAAAAGTACAAGTCTGGTCGCCAGGGGCTGGAGAGTTTTGTTTAATGGATATGGACTTTTAGTTTGGGAAGATAAAGTTCTGGAGATGGATGGTGGGGATGGTTGCACAACAGTGTGACTGTACTTAGGGCCACTGAACTGTCCACTTAAACATGTTTAAAATGGTAATTGCTATATGTATTTTACCACGATAAAAAAGATAGCAACCCTTCCCCAGCCAGTATGCCCTCCCTGTCCCCTTTCTCTGCTTAATTTCTCTCTATAGCACCTTTCTGCCTTTGACATATGCTTTTTTTTTGAGACAGAGTCTCACTTTGTTGCCCTGGGTAGAGTACCATGGCATCATAGCTCACAGCAACTTCAAATTCTTGGGCTCAAGCAATCCTCTTGCCTCAGCCTACTGAGTAACTGGGACTACAGGTGCCTGCTACAACACCCTGTTATTTTTAGAGATGGGATCTTGCTCCGGCTGTTCTTGAACTCCTGAGCTCAAGAGATCCACCTGCTTCAGCCTCCCAGAGGGCTAGGATTACAGGCATGAGCCACCGTGCCCTACTTGACATATGCTATATTAATGCGTTTTGTGTCTTCTGCACTAAACTGCCAGTTTTATGAAGACATTTTTTTGCTTAGTTGTTAGTTGCTTATTTTTGCTTAGTTGTTTCCCTCATCACTAGAGCAATATCTGAGGTAGAGAGGCAATGCTCAAGAAATACTGGTCAGATGAGTGGAAGAGTGAACTTGTCTATGCCTCAGTTTTTTGACCTGTAAAATAGGGAGGATAAACCTAACCTTTCAGAATTGTTATAAACTGTAAGTGAAATAGTGTAGGTATGCTGGGCGTGGTGGCTTAGCCTAGTAATGCCTGTAATCCTAGCACTCTGGGAGGCTGAGGTGGTTGGATTGCTTGAGCTCAGGAGTTTGAGATCAGCCTGACCAAAAGCAAGTGACAGTCCATCTCTACTCAAAATAGAAAAACTAACTGGACATTGTGGTGGGCGCCTGCAGTCCCAGCTACTTGGAAGGCTGAGGCAAGAGGATCTTTTGAGCCCAGGAGTTGGAGGTTGCTGTGAGCTAAGACAGTAGTGCTTTACGCAGGGAATCTCTGTCTCAAGAAAAAAAAGAAAGAAAGAAAGAAAGAAATACTGCAGGGCCCAGCACCTAGCATGGTGCTTGGTGTGCAGAAAAAGCTTAAGGCACGTACATCTTCTTCCTTGAGAAGGAGCTGTATTCACTAACCCCAAGCTCTGGAGCTAGGCTGTGCAAGTTCAGGTCCTCCCCTGTCACTTCCAGCTGTGTGACTTTGGCAAATGACTTCACTTCTCTGTAAAATGGAAATACCAATAGTGACAAACCCAGAGAGGTCTTGTGAGGGTTAAATGAAACACAGAGGTGCCCCAGAAAGGCTAGTTCTCTGTTCGTGTGCTTGGTTTCCCACTGCAGGTCCCTCTCTGGTGGCCAGCCAGACTGCAAGTATGGATGCCGACACCTCCAAGGCCCTGACTCTCTCCCCACCTTTTGGGTCTGCAGACCCCCTCTGGATTGCAGTACAACCAGCAGGCAGGGATCCAGCACAACAGAATGTAACTTCAGAAGGCAGGTGGCTTTTGGTTACAACCCCCTCCTACACTTCCTACACGTGTCCCTCTCCAGGTGATGGGAATGGGGACAGCAGGCCCAGACTGAGGCCTGAGTGGACCCTCTTTTCCTGCAGGCCCCCATCTCCGGGAGGTGGCACTGGCTTCCTCGCTGCTCCTGGCCTCTACTTGCTTCCTTGTGTGCTTGCTCTGGTGCTGCTGTCGCCCTGGATGGTTGGACTGGCAACGGCAACCAGGTCCCTATGACCTCTGCCTTAGCTGCGGTGCAGCCTGCACCACCTGCTATGTGTATCCTGGCCAGGTTGCCCCTGGAGGGGTGCAGCTGAGTGGACCAGCCTTCCAGGATCAGGGAGGCCACCCCTAGAAAGGCTGTGTGCATCAGAGGAAGGAGGCTATGGGGTTAGACAGACCCTGGGTTCTAATCCCCAGATAGCTGTCTGACCTTGAATAGGTCACCTAACCCTCTGAGACTCAGTTACAGACTGAGGACAATTGCTGCCTCACAGGGCTACTAAGGGACATGGGAGGTAACTTGTCGTAGCAAACCCTGCAGGTCAGGTGGTGGCTGGCATTGTGCTGGGCCAGGGAATGGCAGGACCCTCCATGCAGGAAGTGGGGGCCTCACTCCCCAAGGCTGCCTTGCTTCATTCCCAGACCTCACCTGCCCTCCTTTGCCCCACTCTGACCTACCCAAAGGTTCCAAGGAGTCAAGCCCTAGTCAAAGACACAGGAGAATCCTGGCGGGGATAGCACCGTTTATTAAGAAAAATCAAGACAAAGACCACAGGAGGGTCCTTTCTAGGACATGGAGGCCAGGTGTTCTGACCCCACAGTCTTGGGGGCCCCTGGTAGGAGGATGCTTACCCTCTGGCTCCTACAGATGGGGCAGGGCTATCATAACTCCTCTTCATCCTCCTGGTCTGAGTCGCAGCTCCCCCCACCCAAGGCACTAACTCTTCCACCTACCAACAACAGCTCCCCCGCGAGTCCCCTGGGCCTTCACTTCCAGATGAGTGGGGGATGTGGCCTGGTATGGTGGGGAGACCCTCTCAGTGCTGGGTCCTGCCTATAGCAGCTCCTGTAGAGTTGGGGTGGGGTCTCCCTTGCAGCTCCTGGGGGAGGGCCCTTGGGTTGTGTGTTGGCAGGGGGTCAGAATGCAGGCCAGGAGGGCATGGCAAGAGTGGGGAGGCTGCCAGGGGCAGGTGGTCCAGCTGAGGGGGGGAGGAGCCAGGACATGGGCTGGGAGGGGGAGAGGGCTGCTTGTCCAGGGGTGAGCTGCCTTTTGCTCCACAGCTGTCACTACAGAGATTTCCCAACCCAGAGGGCGTGGCAAAGGCTCCTGCGACGCCCCCTTCTCGGGTAGCTGGTGAGGCACAAGGTTGTAGGCCAAGGTTGGCCCTCACAGGAATGAGGGCTGCCCCAGGGCTGCAGCAATGGGCGGCTGGCCCTACCTTGGGGGGCTTCATCCGGGAGGGGGAGCAGGGGCAGGTGGGGACCTACAGAGCAACCATGCCTAACCCCAAGTTCTGGTGGCCTTCTAAGGTACCCACTCTCATCCAACCTGCCCTGCCCATCAGCCTTGTGGCTTTGCCCAGCGGTGTGTGTGGGGGTGGCCTGCCCACCTCCAGTCCAGCCCAGGGCGGTAGCAGCAAAGCGTGGCATTGCCTCAGTTCTTACAAAAAAATCATCATAATAATATTAATAATAATATACTCGGCATTGTCGGGCTGGGGTGCTGCCCAGGAGTCCGTGTAGGGCAGGTAGGTGCCTATGAGGGGCAGGGGCGTATGTTGGCCCCTGCCTGGGCGCGGTGCTGCAGGTCCAGGGGCTGTGGAGGAGGGGCATTGGGCCCAGCCATGTGCAGCACCAGATTCTTGACACAGCCTGTGACACCCGAGGAGAACCTGCCCCCAGTCAGCGTGGCCACGTCGGGGGCTCCGCCTGCGGGGAGGGGAGAAGAAGAGGTGGCCTGTGGACTCCAGAAGCCCAGGAGATGAGGAAGGCCCTGCAGGAGGAGGGGCTCCAGGCCTACACTGAAGCCCATGCTCAGGACTTACCAATGTAGATGCTGCCCTTGGCATTGACGGCCACATTGGGGCCCGGGGATTGGCCGCTGACCAGCTCCTCACCGTCGACCTGGATGGAGCCTCTCTGGCCCTCCCTGAGGTAGAACTGAGTCAGGCCCTTGACCACGAATTCCCCCAGCCTCCCTGACCCTATAAGAGAGTCCCCTCTTTTTGGCACCAGATTTCTGCCTCCGGTTCCACAAACTCTTTCTTTCCTCCACTGTATAAGAACTCTGGCTAGTAGGGTCTCCCACTCCCCAGCTTCTTCCTAGAGCTCCATGCCTGCCCCTTTGCCCATTTGGGGGAGGGCGTCCTGTCCCGCTCCTGAACCCTGGGCCCACCAGTTCCCTTACCGCAGTGCTGTCACCCGGTGCCACTCGCCATCATTTATGGGGTCCTCAGAGACAAGGTGGGCCTCCCCACTACCCAGCTCGTAGCTGCAATCACATAGGCCCAAGAGGGTGTGAGTTGGGGCAGGCCTGGAGAGGGGTAGGGTGCTGGGATCCAGGGAAGGGAGGGAAGGGGTCAGGACCCACCTGAAGACAAGGTGTCCATCCTGAAGCCCAAGGCTGATGAAGTCTTTGCCTCGGCCAGGCTCTCCCACTTCCTGCCATGGAAGCACAGGGTTTCTGGGGGATCAATCCTGAGGCACCCTAAGACCTGTAGCCTCTGCCTTTCTCTCTCCACCACCCTGGCCACCAAAAGACCAGCTTCCTGGCCCAGGAGCCCTGAGGCCCTGGGTGGGATGTCCACACTCACCACACCCTGCCAGAGCAGGAGGCCATTGGCTGTGCTGGTCTGAACCTCCATCTCAATGGTCTCGGGCGCCTTAGGCAGGCTGCGGGGGAGGGGTAGGTGAGGGACAGAAGTCCCAGATTCCTGTCCTTTCCAGTGAACCCAGGCTCTCCCAATACCAGTCTTACCTCCTGGAGAAGATGCGGCCAGGGAGGGCCAGAAAGCCATTGTCATAGAAATAGGCTCCATACTGCCCAGGGGCATCTGCAGGAGAATGGGCGGGGACACCTGCTCACCTGCACCAGGTGTCAGACCTGCGCAGGTTCCCTGACCCCTGACCCCGACCTCCACTCTATTCCCTGCTGTCCCTGGATACCTAAAGGGGCTGTCGACAGAATTCAGAGGGCCTGGGAACTTGCATGGGAAACATAATTCTATTTCCACTCACTTCTCACTGAAATTGAGCAGTTCCTTTAATTATACATGTAGGCAACAAACCAAAGTAGTAGTACCAGGACATGTGACTTTGTCACAAATATTTACTTATCACATTACAGTAGTTGCAAATATTTCAAAATAACATCTGCACTTGTTACTGTTGTGAAATTGTGGTAGCTATGAAGACCACCACTAGATCTTGTCATTTCATGTGTAAATAAATAGCACATACATTCTAAGTCAGAAAACTTAACAAATATTTTGATAACTTTATTTCTCTATCACTGGTTTCCGTTGAAATCCATGTATGTTATGTAGTCAATAGGATCCACATTTGGTGACCAATTATCTTGCTCGCCGAGTTCTGCCTGGCTTGAGCTCTGAAAATCCCACTTGTCAAGAAATCCTTCAGTCCAGAGAAAACAAGGACAGTTGGTGACCTTGGTCTGTGGCAATAGATGGCTCAGGGCCTATGTGTTTTCTCCAGCTTATAGCTCAGGCAAGTGACGGCCCCAGATGTGGGCAGCCTGGACTGCAGCCCAGGCCTTTCAGCTCCAATGTCTGCATTGTGTGTGGCTCCACTATCCCCTGCCTATCTCCTCAAAACCCACTCCCCAGGCCAGCACTATAGGCCTGGCAGCTACCAGGGCAGGGTCTGCTACCATTAAATGATGAGGATAACAGCTAATATTTACCAGGCACCTATGATGTGCCTATCCGGGATGCTTCACCTCTAGTTACAAACATTTTATTTAACTGAATCCTTATAACAACCCTACGGATTAATACAATATTAACAAATGCTACCATTCTGTATCCACTTTGTATCAGACATTGTTCTAGGCATTTAAAATACACTAAACAGGCTAGGCCCAGTGGCTCATGTCTCAAAATCCCAGCATTCTGGGAGGCCAAAGTGGGAGGATTGCTTGAGTTCAGGAGGTGGAGACCAGACTGAACAAAAGCAAGACTCTGCCTCTCCTAAAAATAGAAAAATGAGCCAGGTGTGGTGGTGGGCACCTGTAGTCCCAGCTACTTGGGAGTCTGAGGCAGGAGGATTGCTTGAGCCCAGGAGTTTGAGGTTGCCATGAGTTATGATGACACCACTGCACTCTGCCCGGGGTGACACTAAACAATTTTACTCTTATACAAAATGTTATCCTAAGCCCTGTGGAAAGAGGTTATTCATCTCCATGTTATATGTGGGGAACCTAAGGCCAAAAAAGTTAAGCTACTCACACAAAGTCACACAGTTACTAAGTGGGCTGGACTAAGACCTGAACCCATGGCTGGCTCAAGAGTCCATGCTTTTAACCTATATACCACTGCACCTCCTGATAGTTTAGTAGTAATAAGAAAATGTGTCTGTAAAGGAGTTAGCATAGTGCCTGTAAATGTTCAGTGGATATTCAGTCTTTACTATGATCTTTGCTTTTATTTATATTTATTTATTTATTTATTCGAGACAGTCTTGCTTTGTCACCCTCAGTAGAGTGTCTTGGCGTCATAGCTCACAGCAACCTCTAACTCGTGGGCTCAAGTGATTCTCTTGCCTCAGCCTCCCAAGTAGCTGGGACTACAGGTGCCTGCCATAATGTTCTATTTTTAGAGATGGGTCTTGTAGCTCAGGCTGGTCTCAAACTCATGAGCTCAAGCAATCTACCCACCTCAGCCTCCCAAAGTGCGGGGATTACAGGCATGAGCCACCATGCCTGGCCTATTTTTATTTACTTTAGAGATAGTGTCTCACTCTGTCACCTAGGCTGGAGTATAGTGACCCAGTCATAGATCACTGCAACCATAAATGCTTGGGCTCAAGGGATCCTCCTGTTTCGGTCTCCCAAGTAGCTGGAACTACAGGTATGTGCCACCATGCCTGGCTAATTTTTTAATTTTAATTTTTGTACAAATGAGGTCTTGCTATGTTGCCCAGGCTGGTTTCACATCCCTGGGCACAAGCAGTCCTCCTGCTTCTGCCTTCCAAAGCATTGGGAATACAGGTGTGAGCTATTGCACCCAGCCTATCTTTGCTTTTAAAGAGACAGTGGAATCCTTGAGAATGAGAGTCCTGCCTTATTTGCCTTGTGTTTACTGTTCCCAGGGCAGGGATGGGCACACACTAGATGTCTGAATGCATGAATACAGAGAAGGAAACTGAGGTCAGAGTGACTGTAAGCCCTGTTTAATGTCACCTAGACAGGACCCCATACTGGATGGGTGCAGGCTGTGCAGTGTGGCTGTACTCTTCTTTATTCTGGCCTCTGAGCCTATCAAGCCCTTCCAATGGGCCCATTTTGCTTAAAGGCCAGAATTGAGGGTGATATGGAACTGAAAGGGGGCCTCAGAGATGGAAATTAGGGAGAAGGCTCTTCTGGCTGGCCACAAGTACTCACCGTTGCCTCCGCTGCCTTCAAGATGCCAGTCGGACTCTGCTGTGCCTTGTCCAGAGCCTATGGGGAAGGGGGATGTCCAGCTGGTGGGCACAGACAACCATGGCTACTGTGTCCAGCCCCAGGGGGCCATGAGGGAAGTGAGTACCTTGTTGACATCGTGGGCCAGAGAAACCGGGGAGGCAGAGGCAGCGGGTGCCCTGACAGGTGCCTCCATGCAGACAGGGCTCACGGAGCTGGCAGGGGTTCTCTTCCTGCTCACAGAGGTCTCCTGTAGGTGGAGGTGAGGGCGAGGGGACAGGTGAGCATGCACTGCTGACCACCTGTGCCCTTCCCTGCCGGTGTCCCAGGTAGGCTTTCCTACCTTTGAAGCCATCCTGACATAGGCACTGGAACTCGTACTCGCCGGCAGGCAGGCACGTGGCACCGTGCTGGCAAGGCTGGCGTTCACAAGGGGAACTGTCATAGCACTGTCCAACACCCCGGCTGCCCAGGAAGCTGTAGGTGAGGTCTAGCCGCTTGCCATTCACTGACACCTATAGGCACAGGGACACTGAGGCAATAAGGGGGCATGGGAGGCAGAGGCCCAGGTGTACCAGCAGAGAGACGACTGTGGCAGAGGAAACTGGAAGACCACAAGGCGGGGAGGGAGGTATGGGAACTGAGTACCTACTGTGTGCCAGGAGCATCCATCTATGCCGCCAACCCTTCCTAGGGGGTGTTATCCCCATTTTACAAGGGAGGAAGCTAGGGCTCAGAGGTGAAGCATCTGAGCCCAGGGCTCCATTCTAGCTGCAGGCAGAGGACCCTATTTGCCCTCCTCCCATCCACTTGTCCTCTGAAGGATGCTACTCACCTCGCCCACGCAGCCACGGAAGTGAGCGCTCACGTTGGTGGCAGGGGACAGTTGCACAGAGGGCTCCACGCCACCCAGGTAGAGAAGGGTGTGCAGGTTGAGGCCCTGGCTCTTGCCAGGTGAGGAGCGTAGCACGGGACGGCCACCATTCACCCGCAGGCTGCCATCTTTGTTGAGGCGCTCTGCAGACACGCGGTGCCAGCGGCCCAGGGCCAGCGGCTCAGTGCTCCGCAGAATGGCCAGCCCTGAGGAAGATGCCAGGCAGGGCTGGGAATGTGGGGGTCCCTGCCTTGCCCCACCACATACAGAGGGGGAACTCCCCGTGGTCCTCTGGTTCACCAGATAAGAAGTCCCCAGCCAAGGGAGGTCTAGGGACTTGCCCAGTCACATATGGAAGAAATGTGCAGGAAGGATCTGTCTCCTGAATTTATTCCTCGGGCCATGGAGGGCCAAGGAGGGCACAGAGCTTGGCATCCAGGGGCCCAGCTGCATTTGGTACTCACTGCTCACCTGACCCCAACTCATAGCGGAACTCCAGGTGGCCACCAGCCATTGCCAGGGACACGAAGTCCTCCACAGGACCACTCCGTCCCCCACTGAACAGCAGGACTCCATCAGGCGCTAGTGGCTTGAACTCCACATCCAGTCGTAGCTCATGGTGTGTGTTGGTGAGAGGGGGCAATGCCAGGTAGGAGCCAGAGCCCGACAGGGAGGGAGTAGTCACCGTCACACCTACAGAAGCCAGAGCCAGGATAATGGGAGGCAGAAGGGGAAGGTGGAGTGCCTAATGTGTGCCAGGAGCATCCATCCATGCCACCAACCCTTCCTAGGGGATGTTATCATCCCTATTTTACAAGGAGGAAACTGAGGCTCAGAGGTGAAGTATCTGGGCCCAGGGCACCAGGCTAGCTGCACACAGAGTCCCTGGTGGGATCCAGCTACTTGGCCTTCCACAGGGCCTCCCGCCCACCTCATTCTCTAGGCCCAGAGGCTCAGGGCCAGCTGTGGCCACACTTGGGCCCCTGCCCTGGCAGACCCACCTGGGAGGAGCTCCTGTTAGACAGGGCTTCTCTCTGGGGCACCTTATGTAAGGGATTCAGGTTGGGCAGAAGTGTGGCTGGGTGACTTTGAGATCTGTTCCAAAATTATCTTAACATTTGTTGGCCCCATCATGGCCTCAGAGTGCCCTTTCCAGTTTCCCCAGCCCTCATTGGGAACCTGGGGGTGTCAGGCCTGGCTGCACTCACCTTCCTCACATTTTATCCCCGAGCGGCCCAGGTGGCAGCGGCAGGTGTAGCCTCGACCATCTGGCCGATTCACACAGGTGGCATCGGGCCCACAGGCCTCTGTGGGGCACAGAAACCAGTGAGGAGGACACTGAGGTGGCTCAGGAGGGGTGGGGCCCTGATGCCAAGGCCTTGCCCATTATTCTCTAGGGGCCTTGGCTATAAGGGACATGCTGGGGGCTGAGAGGAGGGTATGGGTCGGGGCCCAGCAAGAGGTGTGAATGAATGACAATGTGTGTCTGTGGTGTTCTTGAAATGCTGTGTCTGGGTGACAGTGGGGTATGAGGAGGACCTAGATGGCAGGTAATGGGTACTGGGTAATAAACCAGGAAGATAGCAGGGAGCAGTGACAGGGTGTACATGGTGGCCACAGCGGGGGGTGGGGGTTGGGGCAGGGACGCAGGTGCAGCATGTGGCAAATACTTGGCTCCCAGTATTGGAGGAGGGAAGCCAGCAAATGGGGTGATTAGTGTCTGGGAGGGAC